GCCTCGGTGTCAGGCATAGGAGCCGTAATTAGAGCGCGGAACAGAATGAGCGTCAGACGAATTACCAGGCAGCAGATCACATTTGTCAGGAAGGATTGCATACATAAAAATTAAGTGACAGTACACGCCGGCGTAATGAAAGAAAAATGAAAGATTTGCCTCTACACAGCTCACAAGCTACAAGCAAGTGTCTCGCTCCAAGCAACAGCAGCAGCTGCAAGACAAATCGCGGGGCTGGCTGGGAGGGCAGGCCCGCTCGCTTGCGTGACAGGCGGCCGCGGGCTGGGCCCAGGGCTGGGACAGGGCGGCAGCATGCAGGCCTGTCGGGGGAACAGGTTTGGTTGGGGGCAGCCCCCATCAGGTACAGGCTGTCAGGCTCCCTTAATGCTTGCTCCGCCACGGGGCGCCACTCCCTTCCTCCTCCCCTGAGCCAGCTGCACCCCGGGTCTGGTGCTGATGCACAGCCATACAGCTCTCCCAGCTTTCAGGGCCACAGCCGGGGGGCAGGGGCAGGGGACAGACGCTCAGTCCAGTCCCAGGTGGCAGGGTGAGGGGACAGGTGGATGTGCCCTGAGGGTCCGCCTTGTACAGGCCCATGTTAGACTCGGGTCCTACACCCTCAGGACCTAGGGTTATGGGGACTCTGAGGCTACCTTGGCCCCTCCCAGTTTCCGTCATCTCTGACTCACGGGAAAGGTGAGTTAACCAGGAAGACGAGGCTTACCAAATGTTCGCGAGATGCTTCGCCTTCTAAAAATTCACGGGCCGGCCCCGAAGTCCGTTAGTAAGGGAGCTGAGCCCCACATGGAAAATGCCGTTCAAATCCTGGCCCTTGGAAACATGCTGAGCACATGCGTGTGCCCAAAATTCGGACAGGATGGAGAAATGGAGGAGGAGGCACTGCGTGACTGCACCCCGCTGGGGGTGCTTTCTCTGTTTCTCTGTCTCTGGCAAGTGCACGCACCTCTGGCAATTAAAGAAGAAAAACAAAACACGTCACGGCTTATTATCTTCATTTTACAGATAAGGAAACTGAGGCTCCGGGAGGTGAGACCAGACCCTTGCGGTCACCTTATAAAGGAGCACAGGAGACCCAGGGTTGTCAGCCCAGGTCTGAATGTCCTGCTACTCCAGGACACCAGCCCCCTGTGGCCTGATGGGGACTTGGTTGTGGGTGCCCAGGGAAGAGGGGGAGGGAGGAATGTCTGGTATGGGGAACACTTAGGGCCCCAGTACCCGATCACCTGGGGAAGAAAGAGCCCTTCCTCCCTCAGCAGTGGAGAGTGCCATTAGGACCTGTGGCTTGTCACGGGCCCCCACAAAGGAGGCACTGCCCCTCCTTGGCACATGCCGGCATTCCCGTGCACATGACCACGTCATGCTGTGACTAGCCGGCACCCCAGGCCTGGCATTGGTTGGCTTCGTGGAACATGTGCTGAGTGGGGGGACGTCCTCACGGCCGGTACCCCTCGGGTGTCGGTCATTGCAGGTACAGAGTGCTGTGCCTATGTGTCCCTGCGTCCCGCCACCCAGTCCTCCCACCCTGCCCCATCCTGGTGGCCTGGGCACAATCCTGGCAGCCCCCTACGTCCAGGAAACTGGCTTCGGCAAGTTGACCGGAAGCCTGAGTTCAGCTGAGGTTGTGCGCTGGCACCTGGGGGGTGGTCATGGGAGGTCATGCATGGCTGGCTCATCCGCCATGTCCCTGGCACTTGGAGACACAACCTGTTAGAAAGGGACTCGCTGACACCAGAGCGGGTGGGGAGGGTCTTAAGGGGATGGACCTGGGCCTGGGGTACAGGCTGCTGCTCACTCATTTTTGTTGGGTCATTTCTCCTGGACAGGGACGTGCCCGCAAGGCTACCCGCCGGGAGTGTCAGGCAGGAAGTCCACTCAGTCCCTCGCCGTGAACCAGAAACTATTCCTGTGCTCGCTTGTCACTTTCCAGAGAGGAAGGCCAAGGGGAGGGGAGGACCCTCTGTCTTAGTGATGGGGAACCTGGGGTGGGAGCAAGTTGCAGGCCTCAGCTAGCGAGTGGCTAAAGCAGATCAGACCCGCCGGGCCCAGCACCTGACCCCTGGCGTTTCCTCGTCCCTGGAGCCCAGCCCGGAGTCCCAGGGGTGCATGCATGTCCACGACAAGACCACAGCTCTCCGTTCCCCAACTGCGTTTGGGGACAGGGCCAGCTCGCAGGCACCAGCCCGTCCTTCACGCGGAACCTG